TGTGTGTGTGTGTGTGTGTGTGTGTGTGTGTGTGTGTGTGTGTGTGTGTCTGTGTGTGTGCCCTAAGTTATATAAATGAACTGGATTGAACTGATTTGAATTGAGTCAATTTGCACAAACATTTTATTGGTACTGTAAAAAAAGGTTGAAACCTGTTTGAGACAAACACGTGGATTCTTTTTGCTGAACTCTATAAGTTCAGTACCATTTACCATTTTATGATCCTTTTTTTAAGAAACACACTGAACCAACCTTTCTTAATGCTCTACATGAATTTTATCCCTGTATGCTTTTTGTGCCAAGGCTGTGATTATAGGTGTGTGGATGCACATTTAACACCACTAAAGAACACTCTGAAACGCTGTGAGACTGTGAACTTAATGGACCGTTGCCCACACACGCAAACACACAGAACAGAAAACTGCCTTTATTTGCTCTGTCAATAAAATCTTGAGCATTTAAAGCACAACCCGCTCTGACTCAAAGACCCTGTTTTCTGTTCTTTACCTCGTGTCGCTTTTGTACTTTTTTCACCCATCTCTTTTTTTTATTTATTTTTTTATGTGCCCTGGACCAATCCGGTGTGCAATTGTTCAGAGAGCTCTCTAATCCAGCCTCAGATTTGAGTTGGGCTGCGCAGGGCCTAATAGGATTGTAGCATTAACCCCGAGGACAATACCACCAGCTGTCGCAGAGCCCTCTGTTGGCCGTCAGCAGAAATGTGCCAGTGGCAGAGGGGGGAGCAGAAGGTGGAGGGGGTTGTCTGACACAGGAGGACAGTGTGTCTATGTGATGCTCTTAGTTTGATGTGAAATTACGAAGGACGCGGCTCGGAGCGCTTTATTTTGGACCGCAACCTCGTCGATTCAGCTTTTAATCTTCCTTAAGTTTCTTAAATTTTTGTTTCTGTCTCATAAGATCCATTTTCCCTTAATCAGCCAGCTTTCAGCTACTTCCCCCACCTACATCGTCCCCGGTCTGACACTTCCTCCGTCGTGGCGGCAGGTTGTTMGGGGCTCTCTATGGCTGAATAAGTGGTAAAACAGGGGGGTTACTTTGGTGGTTTTGCACAGGACTGGGACAAACAGCTGGAGGAGGATGGCGCTGGCTCTGGAAGAAGTGTGGGGCCGAGTGAAGAATGTCTGCAAGCAGAACGGACTGCTCATCCTGTCGGTGCTGGCCGTGGTCATCGGCTGYCTGCTGGGCTTCTTCCTCAGAGGCAAGCAGCTCTCCGAGCAGGTCAGTTGGTCAAAGTGMTGCTTGTGACCCAGAACCAACCCAACCTACCAGTGATCATCGATTCCCCTCCTGCTTTTCTGCCTTATGGTGCCCCCACCCGCAAAGACCCCGTGGTGATCCCCTGTCCTCATGTGCCAGAAAGGATTCAAAACACAAATTCTGTTCCAGACATAAAATGCCTCTTTTATTTATTTATTTATTCCCCTCATTTAAGTGGAATGCACCAACATTTACCTGATAGAAATACACAATACATGTGTTATGAACGTGTGAGTTACCACACACACACACACACACACACACACACACACACACACNGACTTGGATGGAAAATGAATCACAATAGTGTGCATTGCATTGGCAATGCAGACTGATTAGATACCACATAGAGGTAGCATATATGCCCATCCCCCCACATATGCAAAGAACAAGATTTATTGTTTTTGGGTGGGGGTCCAGGGGGGTCGGGGGCTCATTCGATAGCACTTTATCAGATCTAAACAAAAAATAATAATCTGAAACGCTTATGTTGAATTGTTTTTTGAGTTATAAGCATTTTTTTTTACATCCAGACACTCCATTTTCAGATGGAGCCCCCTCCTCAAACATGGGGTGTATTGTAAAACCGTCAGCGGGCCCAGTTTAGGTCGGACACATCTACATTCCTGTCAAATTTCAYGCTGATCTGTGCAGCTGTTTCCGTGCTACGGTTGACCAAAAAYCTCTGAAATAATAAATAAACAGTACAGAAACTTTGTGGCGGGGGTCAAAATAATGAGAATGAAAATACACTTTCTGAAAATAATCACCTAAGTCTTTTTTAAGTTTTTCAGGAAACACAAAACTTTAACAACAGTGTACAATATGACATTTTGGCCAATTATTTAGGAAAGTGTTGATTTGTAATATTACTGATAATTATAAGACCATATTTTACGTATAGTGAAATTTTAAACTAACTGTTAAAGTGCAGCTGAAATCTGAGGTTTATCTCACTGRCTGTGAATGTTGGAAACTTATCTGTGAGTTTCTGAGAAAATGTTCAAATCWCATTGAATTCTAAATGTTTGCAACTAAATGAGCAGCAAGCTGCGTGGCCGTGTTTTTAAAAAATSCTATCTTATTGTTGGGCTCATGGCYGACTCCAWGTTTATTATTTAATCWGCTGGAWACATTTTTTTTCTTTTTTATCAACACGGTTTTTAAACCTGAGAGGAGAGGTTCTTGTTCAGGTGCTGGAATGCAGCTTCGTTGCTCTCAAGGTGAGTTGGACACGACTTCATCAACATTTTTGAGAGAATTTGCTGAATAAGTTTTTGGATCGTGTTGAAAAGTCAAGAGACAAAACAATGAGCTTCAATTAAACCTTCAGTCATCACGTCTGGAATCCTGCTCACCAACTTGTTTTTTTTTTTTTTTTTTTGGATGGCCTCCCTTCTCCTCTTATGGCC